ACCTCTTTTCTAAGTTGCATCCCGGTCCCTCCAGCCGTTTTAATATGACTGAGTAATGAACATACACACAAACATACAAACTCATATATTTTCACATTTATAATATCGGTTCAAGCTAATTTCAACCATCGGCCCTACAGTTACAGCGTTAAGTTCACTACGGCAACCTAACATTCGACAAATTTATATTTACGTTGAGTACAGTAACTGTGTCTAGGGATTGAGCCGCACAATTAAGTTTGTTTTTTCGTGTGTGCCCAAGATATTAAAGTATATATGTAATCATACTTAGTTTAATCATAATCAGACCGTTAGTTTTTGCATGATGCGTAAACGTACAGACAGACAGACAAACCGTTTTTGGGTTCGATATCTATCTAGTAACACCCCCAACTACTTTATTTATATTTTCAACATACAGAATTTACACTTGTACAGTTTTATTATATATAAAGATTCGTCATATCAATACACAATAATGTTCCTATCTTCTCTTTCATTTAATAATACAATACTTTTTTCGAAATGTCAAATGTTTTTATATATATCACATGATTAAGACGTCTTAAAATTATGCATTTTTGCATACTGGTAACTTATATTGATAATATGTTAGAATGTGTGGAAGTTTGTCACATAAAATATGTATTTTTTAAAACAAACGTTGCCCCACACTAGGATTTTCTCCTGTGTCGTGGGTGCGTTTACAAACATACAAGCTCACATACACATGACACCCAGACCCGGAACAACAATTTGTGGATCACACAAAGAGTTGTTCTGTGCGGGAATCGAACCCGCGACCCGTTGTGCGGCAGTCAATTGCCCAATCGTGCAGTCATATATACGTACTGAACAGATTCGAATGAAATTGAAAGTACCATGAAAGGTCCTTATTCGGAATTGAGGATTATTGAGGATGCGGGGATTGGAGATATTGGGGAGGGGGATAGTTGGGCCTCCGGTAACCTTACTCACACGACGAAACACAACGCAAGTGTTGTTTGACGTCGGTTTTCTGTGAGGCCGTGGTATCACTCCGGTCGAGCCGGCCCATTGGTCCTGAAGCATGGCTCTCCCGAACTTAAAATGACTTCAAAAGCTGATGCAAATGCTGGGCAGGCCCATCATAGTCATTACCATAAACCCCCTAATTATGTAGAGATCGCCGTCGCTCTAACAGGGGACTGTCTCAAAATTGACTTACTTTTACTACCTATTTTTTTAAACATACTTCCTAAGTAAACAAAGTTGTTGGAGTATTCTTGTTAAATTTTTTTATGGCATAAGCCGGTAAACGACCAGACGGATCACCTGATGGTAAGCAATCGGCGTCGCCCATGGACACCTGGAACACTAGAGGCGTTACAAGTGCGTCACCGGCTTTTTGGGGATTAGGAGTTTGAGGATCGTTGGGGATTCAGGGATTGGGGAGATTGGGGAAGGGGAAGGTAATTAGGCCTCCGGTAACCTCACTCACACGACGAAACACAACGCAAGCGTTGCTTCGCGTCGGTTTTCTGTGAGGCCGTGGTATCACTCCGGTCGAGCCGGCCCATTCGTGCTGAAGCATGGCTCTCCCACACTTGCGTTTATGACGTTGCGTTAATTCTGCCTATTATGATGAATATCTAGTAATGTCTTTTTTTTAAGGGGGGAAAATCATCGAATGACTGCTACCGCCTCTAGTGTCAGACTCTTACTGACTAAAAACCACCCCGTTCCTTCTCCTGCACGTCGAGCCGGAGCCCCGATCTAGTAATGTCTAGAATGTCTATTAACTATATGCTTATCTTTTCAAAACCAGTATTTTTGTCTTTTTAGGGTTCTGTAGACAAAAGCTAAAATAGGAACATCTGAAGACGTATAACGTATAATGTGCCTATCAATTGAACAAAAATCTCCGCAATCAGAGATTTTTAAGAAATTAGATAGTTCTTCTACTACGAATTACGATTTGGATTGATTGATGATTGGACTTATGGTCCGATGATCGGTTCAACTTTCCCGATAACAACAAACAATAAGAAGATAATTAATATAATGACCATCGTAAGACATACTAAAATAATAGGCTGCGCGACATCGCCGCGACCGCGCACGCTTATGAGGAAGAGCCCCTCTGTGGCTCAAAACTAGTCGAGCTTTTCTCAGTATATTCAGGTGAGTAACCGCCGATTTTAGGTTAATATAATTAATAAACTCGATCAGTGACTAAGGAAAAACAAGATATTTTTGCGTGCTATGGAACCCTTCGTACGCGAATCCAAATCGTTATTGACTTGAGATTATTTTTAATTTTATCTTGTCTAGAATATTAGGTAGACAAGAATTTTAAATTAAAATGTGACCCCTCTGTTACGTAAACGATAGTCACTTTTATTTTCAAAATGGCTTTTATATTGAAAAAAAATATCTAATTACTTTTTTATACACTAAACCAGTTTATTCATTATTATTTTATAAAAAACTTAAAGTGGTTTGTACCCATAGAACATAAATAAAGAAGGTTTGTACGAAAAGGTCTCACAGAAAAAGACGATATTTTCCACCTTTCCGTCAATGATTTGATGCAGAAGACGGAATGACTAAGCCTAATGCCCCCCTCCTGTACCACATCCCCAATTTCTAAATGGCTAGTACCACACTAGTACTACCTCCTCCAGTGTTGAGAACGGCCACAACAGGATGCACCGATTGCTTACCATCAGGTGATCTGTCTGCTCATGTGTCACCCTATCCGACAAAAGATCACCAAGGACATCGCCACCTTCTTCATTAGATCCCTTATTCACCTGTTAATTTCTTTTCCTTCACTTCATGTCCCGGTCTTAATTTCTTTGTTGAACATCAGCTCTTTATTTCTATAAATCCACAAACTATGAATCCTTCTATGGATCCTCAAATAAAGGATAAGTACAATCGGCAAAGTTGGAGGTTGACCACGATTAGACGATATTCGCATGCACTCGACGCGAGCGACCACATCCCTGTGGTAGATAGCAAGACTGCCACAGGATTTTGTTTAAAAACTGTGTACTACCGATAACTTTGCCGATTGTACTTTAAACTTTATCTTGTATATATTAACATTATTCATGTATAAAGGTGAAGTCATAGTATAAAGAACAAAGTAGGTTATCTTCATACAAATGCTCCGCGCGCGGCTTATATGTGTGCGCCATAGTATCTATGCGTCGACGCACGCACACTTTAACAAAATCTCGACCCGTTTCTCAGTGCGCCAGGCAGGGCTAACACTGCACGAGGTTCGCGCGCGCATCACTTTTCGGCACTGTTAAATGAAATAAAAAATGTCTGATAATCGCAGAAGAACGTATTGATGTGTGTTTGGGTGTCTTAATAATTAATCGATTCCAGAACTGTCTCTGTTCAGATTACCTATTGAACAGGAAAGGTAAGCTAGTCACTTTTTCTAGCATAATATAATTTGTAGGTACTTGATGATGAGATACCTACTTACTTATTCTTACTCTTATCATTCTTCATAGTTCCTACTCAACCAGAAATGTAATTACCTAACTTAAATATTATAAGAAAATGTGGTATTGTATTGTTTATTTCACAGTTTATCTGATTTGTTTAGAGCGTGGCCGTGTCGCATTTTTCCATATAAATGTATTCCCAAATTTACTTTCTGAATACTATGTATAGAGCTAAAGTTTATTTTAAGAAATTAATAATCTTTTTATAAGCTTTTTATTTTTACTAAATTTATAAATTGATAAAATATTCAATCATAATATGCTTTTCATTTCATAAATTTAGATCAAGTGCTGCTTGTTCGAAAATATTAACTAAAAGTAAAAGTGACAACCCTGGGGATCAACGCAAGAGTAGGCTAATAACTCGGCGGGCGGCCTTAGATAACCTACTGTGTTCTTTATACTATGGTGAAGTTGCTTAAAAACAAATTCTGGTTTTGTTGAACCAGACTCATACTAAAATGTGTACTTGAACTTGTACTAATACATATTCAAAAATCTTCTAGAAAATTCTATAAAACATATTCCACGTGTTTTTGGTCAATTAAAGGTCCATTATAAATTTTATATTTTCGCTTCAAGACACATATAGCTATAGCTATATAAAAGATTATATAATGTCTGTTTGTCTATCACTATTAAGTTCTTTCTCAAGCTACTAAAAATAGACATTCAGAAAGTTTTAAGTACATTTCAAATGAAAATTTTTCTTAAAAACTTTTCGTCTCTTTTATTTTTTTCCTTTTTAATGACTAAAAGCATTTTAAAGCATTCATTATTGCACTTTATTTGGTACAGTTTAAAACATGTTAAGCCTTAATACTCGAAAAATATTCAGTAGTTAATTTAGTCATTTTCGTATTCTCAAAAAATAATTTCATTGATTCATCATCCATATTATTGTTCCGAAGCATATAAAACTAAACATAAGTATGTACTTACGTTTTATAACGATCCAAACAAACAATATCGTGGCAGATATCTAGTCATATTTATTCAACTTTTTACTTAACGTAACATGAGTGGGAGATCCATGGTTCGGCCGAAATGGGCTGTCTCAACTGGAGTGATACCACGGCCTCACAGAAGACCGATGTGAAACAACGCTTGCGTTATGTTTCGTCGTGTGAGTGAGGTTACCAGAGGCCCAATTATCCCCCTCCCCAATCTCTGCAATCCCTGAATCCCCAACAATCCTCAAATTCCTAATCCCCAAAAGGCCGGTAACGCACTTGTAAGGCCTTTGGTGTTCCGGGTGTCTATGGGTGGCGATCCGTCTGCTCGTTTACCGATTTATCCCATAAAAAAACAAGTGGGCAGAAATCCAAGAAAAACACAAACCGGTCTATTGCCATTAAAATTAGAAGAACAGGTATCTTTTATGCTTTTGTCACATAATTATGTTAAGGCTATTATCGAATTGTTATCATTTTCATTGATGCCTAGCCTACCCTATAGTACGGCTGTGTACGAAGAGCTTTAGTCTAACTTATATTTTGATGTGGTATACCAGTGCATTCATAGTGAGAAACTGTCCATAAATATTAACACTACGAACAGTAAGTATTTTAATTTAATTATTTTCTATTTTTTGATAGATTATTTATATAAGTAGGATCGGTATCATATTTTTTATATTTTTCATGAGTATTTGATTTTTAACATAATTATATCGCGAAGGAAAACCTGAATTGAATTTGTTTTTTGACCATAATAAAACAATCAAAATTTAGTATAAGTATACGCCTTTCTTTAAGAAAGTGAAATGAAAAAAGAATAGAATATATTAATTTAATACAAATAAAAATAAATGTACACAACATCAAAACTATTTAGCAGTGAAATCAAAAGGGCTGACGATAATGATGGAATTAAATGACAAAAAATTGGGCAAGTCGACCAATATTTTTACTATTAGGAAGAAAGAGAGAAATGTTACTAATTTCTTTTTATAAGGAACACCCTATTTGAAGAATTATTACTGCAAAGCTTTGATCAGGCATCAACGTAAAAAAATAGAGATTGTCGTGAAGAAGTCTTATTTTTTTTTTAATTTAGGGAGCTTTATTTATAGCCGTAGTAACAACCGGTAAATGTAATTTACTCTGCTGTCAGTACACGGCAACGCATTCCTAAAAAAAATATAATTAATAACTACTAATAGGTACGTACGAAATCTTCAATAGGGATATTTAAATCACAGTCTAGTTTTATTTGGGCTCGCTGCCATTGCAGCGGTAAGTTCTCTCTTTGAGGAGTGGCTCGAGCACGGGATCTTCGGGAGGTACCTGTGTCTGATAGGGCGGGAGGAAACGCCTGGGCGTCATCACTGCGATGAGTGCTCTGAGGACACGGTGGAACACATGGTAGGGGCATGCTCTGCGTGGACTAAGCTCCGCCGTGCCCTCAGGGATGTGATTGGCACGGCGACCTCTCGCGTCCGGTCCTAGTCCGGGTTATGATGCGGGCGAGGAGGACTGGGATGCCGCCTCCTCCTTTTGCGAAGCAGTTATGCTAGCTAAGGAGCAGGAGGGTTGCGTGAGGCAACAAAGCGCTACCTCCTTACAACCTAGCCGTCGCGAAGGACACTCTGGGCGTCGGGGATCGCGGGACGATCTCCAGCCACCATAAGCACGGGCCTGCGGACGGCAAGCATGGGTAGCTCGCCGCCCGACCAGAACCAGAAACAAACGTACGGCGCGTCGCTATTCACGCGCGTATCAAAAAGTCATCAGACCACCACGGATGAGGCCCAATAGGGCTGATGCCGATATACGGAGCCGCTGAGGACTTATTGGGTGCTGAGGCCCTGGCTCGAAGGGAAGGAGTAGGAACGGGGTGGTTTTTAGTCAGTGACATTTCCCCCGCCTGACCCCGATGATCTCATTCGATGATTTTCCCTCCTTAAAAAACTCTAGTTTTAATTATGATAATAATAACTTTAGTGGTCAAACGTCAGCCAATCAAATAAAAAAAATATAATTAGATATTAATTCAATATTATTCATATTATTGTATATAAATACTTACCTATATTTTCCCACTATATGTTATCAGTTGACCTTGGACTGACTATAATAGATTGGTCACCAATCTGAAGACTAAAACAAGTTTAATCGGATTGCTATAAAAATATTGTTATTCATGAGGTGTTTGTCTATTCTATTATGTAACACAAATAAAAATTTGGACGAATGTCTGTAGGTACACATACACATAACATCCAGACCCGAAACAATTATTTGTGGATCACACAATGAGTTGCTCCGTGCGGATATCGAATCCGCTGCACTTTGCGTGGTAGCCGGTAGACCAGCCACCACGCCAATCGTACAGTATTTTTGTCCTACAGATGATTGCATTGCGGAAGGGAGTGTCAGACTCTTACTGACTAAAACGGTTTTAATACATTTATGTTTAACGCATTATATAAAAGGGTAGTAACAAAAGCTCCGACAAGAAAAGAAGAATTGTTCTTACTGAAAATATTAAATCTACTGCCTAAAATACTAACTTTCCGACTACCTTACATGACTGTTTATTGCTACAATACTAACCTAACCTAACCTATGAAGTCTGTTGTCGGTAACTTAGTAATTTTGTCGGAGGTTCAATATTCTATTCGGAAGTTTAGTTTTGTTATTCGAAGATCCATTTTTATAGTCGGTGTGGCCGACTGCTGCCGATCGCTGGAGATTAATTTGTTTTTCGGAACTATTATTATTTTCCTTTATAAAATAATTATTTATTTATTGACATTGTTTTTAGTTTCAGTTGCTAAAAGTGTTTAGTAACTTCTAATATATCCAAGATGGCGCCAGAAAGTAGAGTCAATGATTCTGTGCATCTGTACATGTCTGATTTGAGTAGTCGTATAGTTGCAAAAACTGGAAACCCGTCCGACCGATACCATTTGGGTCAACTGATTCTACAGGGCCTTAAGGATGATCCTGACTTTTTATTGCAGGTAATTATAATAACATTACATCACGTCTTTTTATCCCCGAAGAGGTAGGCAAGAGTGCACATTACAGCGCTTAATGCCACTGTACTATGTAACATCCACTTTTCATTATTTATGTTATGAGTCCCATGTAATAGTGGAGAACCTATTGCCATATACCGAACACCAATTCCAGACCAGACAGAAATACTACTGACATTTTTTTTACACCCAGTAACACTTTGCCCGACCTGGGAATCGAACCTGAAACTCCTTGCCCGGCAGTCGCACTCGCAACCACTCGGCCAACGAGGCAGTCTAACTAACTAAAGTGACTAATAATATTTTGCAGATTGACGGATCATCGGGGGAATCAGAAACGTCCGGCTCAGTATTAGAAAGATCTGTGCGTTTCGCCATGAGTCTGCGGAAATTGGGAATAAAACGAGGAGAAGTCATGGTGCTTTTGGCCCCTAACCATTTGGATGTAACTATCGCTTTATATGCTGGACTGTATCTTGGAATTATTGTGTGTGGTATCGAGCCAAGTACACCACCTGGTAATTCTAATTCACTTTCTTTAAAATACTGAATTGCTTTTTGCATATTTTTCTGTAATTGGCCGGACTTCAAGGTCAAACTAGTATAACTAGTTTTAAATTTTATTAAAATTAGCCTATATAAAAAAACATGGTTACGTTTAGGCAAACATTCCGTAATACGTTAGGTGGTATCATTAGAGGCTTTAAGTAGACACATAGGTGTCCATAGGGAGGTGCCGTAACAGGCGTTGCACCGTGGAGGCTCCGGGGTTGGTCTAAGAGGACCCGGTGCCTCCTTTAGGTGCGGATGGTGGCCACCGGGGAGGTTTTAGTGAGGTAAAAATCCCACACTCCCTAGTCTTTTTTCTTTTTTTCCCCAAAAAACCTAGGTGCCTTTTGAAGGTTTCCCCCGTGAACAAAAAAGGCGGTATCATTAATACAAGTTACACCTTTATAGACAATCCTATTTAATACATTTTATTGTTTTCAGTTGACCTACAGCCACTTATATCTATTTCGAAACCTTCCATAATCCTTTGTCAGAGCGATGTTGCTTCAAAAGCACAAATGGTTTCACTCAACTTGAATTTAAACCCCCACATCATTACTTTTGATAAAGGGGATTTTTGTCATTATATTGATTTCATGGAAATGTACAAAGATGACACGCCCGTGGAGGAATTCAAGTAAGTTATATTCATTAATTAATTAAAATCGCGGGTTACTTACTTGAATATACTGAGAAAAGCTCTACTAGTTTCGAACCACAGAGGGCTTCTTGTGCTTACCAGTGAGTTGCGCGACGTCGCCGCGACCACGCACGCTGCTCATGAGGAAGAACCCCTCTGTGGTTCGAAATTAGTAACCGTAGGAGATCCGTACATACATTTTTCTTTTTCTAGGTGTTCAGATTTAGATCCTGAAAAATCAGTGGCGTTCATCGTTAACACAAGCGGAACCACGGGTCAACCCAAAAGTATTATGCACTCACATAAATATTTCGCTATACTTCTACCACACATATGGTAAGTCGAATACATTCAATTTATTGACTGCTTCATTAGTTCATAGGACCCCATCGGAAGAGGCCTCAAATCAGAATTGGAGATGAATAAAATTTAATTGGACTTGGAATGAATTGGGATCGGGTGAAGTATGATTGGATTTCTCAATGATACTCAAATCCTTTTAATTTTCGAAAATACTCAGAGAAATAAATTGATATGCGTATGCCAACTCTCCGTGGTGCTTGGCGACTGGGCTTCACCCAGTTGTACAGTCTCGTTTCTTTGTACCTTTAGGCTTAATTCACTCTGTCTCCTGCAGTAATTCACCGAGGGAAGTGGAAACTATCGTTTATTTTGTCTTATCCTCTTACAATATTTTCTGATTCACTTCGTTGCGGAAACCAAGACAGTTATTCATGTTCCTGGGACGCGCAGGACTTCAGTGTCCCGGTATTTTCATGGTTGTATCTACTGTAGATCCTGGCTTACAGGAGTTGCAGCGTCCCATTAAAAAAAAAAATGCCAACTGCGAATACGAAAGTATTTTTTGAGCCAACCAAAAACGGAGCCAATTTTTACCGACTTCAAACAAAGGTGGAAGTACTCTGCTCGGCAGATTGTTTTCATTTTTAATTCTTTTTTTGTTTGTTCACCGTTTACTCCGCCATTTTTAAATCAACGCATATATCTAATGTAATGATTATAAAATACTAGCTAATTCCGCGTGGTTTTAAACTCTCTGCTCAGCTCTTATTGGTCGTAGCGTGATATTTTATAGCCATAACCATCCTCGATAAATGCACTATCTAACACAAAAAGAATTATTCAAATCAGACTTGTAGTTACGGAGATTAGCGCGTTCAAACAAAAAAACAAATTCCGCTTTATATAATACCTCTAGTATAAGATATAAGATTGACATTTACATATTTTATTATCCGGTGTATCTCATGAGTAATCTTGTCTTGTTTGCACCACAGGGCCAAATACAGGAAATTCCCGACACCAACAAAGTTGGTGTTGATTGGATCTCCCCTCCAATGGTCGACTGCAATGACAAGTTTTATCAGATCCGCTGTATTACGATACACACGGGTGCAGAGTTCACATAAACTTACACCAGAAACGATGATGCATCTCATTAATAAATACAGGGTAAGTTTATTATATATAGCACCCTCCATCAATCCGGAGCTGTGGATAATCTAGTGGGTTACCGAGGCTTCGGCTTGAAATAGCTTTAAAACCGCGGTGGTTGTAGTAAAAAAAAAAACAATCAATGAACGAGAATGCACAACCTATTTTTTTCATCTATAAAATATTAAAACAATTGTTATTATTTTTTTTCTAGCCAACATATTCGATATTCTCGCCGACTTTGATGTCGTCACTGCTAAAACTGAATAAAGTTGACTTCACCTGCTATGAAGAAATCATGTTATGTGGCCTCCCCGTACCTCAGAGCCTCATTAATGAAATCAAGGTATATAAAATTAAATATCTATATCTAAATATCGTAGATGCGTCCACATACATTACATACAATTTCAAAAACACATGACACCAAGGCCCGAAAAAACAATATGTGGATTACACAAAGAGAAACTTCCAACGTGAATGGACGTTACGACTCTTTACGCGGGAAACTTTACTTTACTGTCACATTTGACAGAAGACAGCGTCAACATGACAGCTAGTGCAGTCGATAACACAGGTTAAACTAGTGACGTTCATTTAGTCGATTTTTGTCGTCTAACATTACAAACTTTTTTTAACCAATACTTGCTTACTAATAAACGAATTGATTTCAGACTCTAACGCCGAAAACTTCTGTACTAAATTTGTTTGGAATGAGTGAACTGGCCGGCCTTGGGTTCTTCGGTGACAACCCTGCGCCTGGATCATGTGGAAAACCAATGAGTTGCTTCCAATATCGGGTGAGAGTCCTACAAACTAAGCCTGCTAACGATAGTTCTTAGTAGGGGCAATTATTATGATTTTTTTTTATATTTTGGCTATAATACCAAACCAGATAAATGTATTTTCTTTCTTTCTTTTTTCTAAATATATCAAGCTAAATCTTTCCTACTATTATCTATTATAAATGCAAAACTTTGTATATATGTTTGTTTCGTGACGTTAAAACGGCTTCGTTCCCGTTCCCGTGGTATAAAAAGCCTATCTAATAATAAAAATAAATAAATAATCTGTATTGATGATAAAATGAGCAAAATACAAAAATATTATCATAATAACCGATATAGACCTTATACAGTTAGATGCCTGTACTCTGCCACTGGGACCCCTTGGGAATTGATCAGACCGTTTAACATGAGAAAAATGTTTCTTCTGCCTCGTTGGCTGAGTGATCGTAAGTGCGACTGCCTGGCAAGAGGTCTCAGGTTCGATTCCCGGGTCGGCTAAAGTATTACTGTTTTTTTTTTAAATATCACTAGTAGCACGGAGTCTAGCATTGTGCCCGGTATATGACAATAGGATCATCCCCTATTACATGGGACTCATAACATCAATTGTGAAAAGTGGGTGTGGCATTAAGTGCCGTAATGTGCACCTCCGCCTATTCCTTCAGGATAAAAAGCCTTATGTATAATATAAATATTTCTTTTTACAGTTACTGGATGTGGATACACAACAAGAAATTCACGAACCGAATGTTCCAGGAGAGATATTGATCAAAGGACCTGTTCCATTCCTAGTAAGAACCTGTTTCTTTAGGCCTGGTTTGTCTCACGTTCAAAGAAATCAAAACGAAACCGCATTCGACTCTTTGATTGGCCGACAACAATGAACGAGCCAATCAAAGCGCTCAACGCGGTCACGTTTGGATATCTGGTACCTTTGAGCCTTTCTCAGTTTACTTCAACCTGTGTCTTTCCTCTATGTTAATTTTTCTTATTGGACAGAGCGGCACGTGTAGGTTCAGACGGATTAACTGATGGTAAGCAACCAGCGTCGCCCATCGATACTCCCAAACTCCCGGGAAATTGCGTTATCTTTTGTTTGGCTTTATATTCAGGACTCTGAATAGTACTTGAACAGCTACAATAGGGTAGTTTCCTAAATTTTATTTTAATGTCCGTCTGGTACATTAATTTAAAACTTTAGACACGTATTTTTTCTTTTCTCACAAAATTAAATACTTTCGACGATATATCAATTTGAAATATCGTGAGACTTCACAGCGTGACACATTTTGTAGCACGTTATGACGTAACGACTCCTAAACTTACCGCTATTTTATCTAAGTATTGCAACTTAATACGAGTAAATAAAAAATACGTGTATAATATGTTTTTATTATCTAACTGACGGACTAATTAGATTTTTAATTTTAGTACCCTAGAAACTACCTAATTGGGGTTGAATAGCGTTGACAATTAGTACCTAATTATTGAGAATTTCTTGGATTGACATTGAGATTTGTTTCTAGAGTAAGCGTCCAGTTATATCGCAGACTTCTTTTTTCATATTATCGTTCGTCAATTATCTCATTTTTGTTCCTCCTCATATTGATGTCTACAATCAATAGGTATTAAATAAGTTTTCGTTACCCCAGGGTTGTTATAGGGACGCTGAAGCCACTAAAGACTTCCTAACCAGCGATGGTTGGTTGAAAACCGGAGACATATTCTATTTTGACGAGAATTGGAACTACTATTTTGTGGACAAAATTAAACTGCAGATCAAGTGCTGTTATTACAGGGTAAGCATTTATCCGCGCAGTTTTTTTTTCATCATCATCATCATCAACAGCCTATAAATGCCCACTGCTGAGCAAAGCCTCTTCTCACACGGAGAAGGTTAGAGCATTAATCACCACGCTTGCTCAATGCGGGTTGGCGATTTCAAACTTATAATTAGAAATTATAAGTTCAGGTTTCCTCACGATGTTTTTCCTTCACCGTTTGTCAGTGGTGTCTAGATAATCTTAGAAAGTACATATAACTCGGAAAAAGTCACATTGGTACTTGCCGTTGGTAAGTTTCGAACCCGCACCCTCATGCATGAGAAGTGGGCGTCTTAAACCTCCGGGCCACCACGACAAGTTTTTTTTTTATTGGACCTATTTCTTTGAATAGAAACTACAGATACTCGACCAACGATGCAGTCTATAAAATAGATTGCTTCATTAGCCGAGTGGTTGCAAGTGTAATTGCCGGGTAAGGGGGTTTTGGGTTGGATTCCCGGTCCGAGCAAAGTATTACTGGGTTTTTGAAAAAAACCAGTAGTAGCACGGAGTCTGGAATTGTGGCAGGTATGTGGCAAAAGGCTCATGCCCTATTACATGGGACTCATAACATAAATAGTGAAAAGTGGGTGTTACATTACCGTAATATGCATCTCTGCCTATGCCTTCGGGGATAAAAGGTGTATTTTTTAACAGAAACATGTTATTTTTGTTTAAACAAACTTCTTGATACATTTCAAATTTGGGAAAAGGATTCTTTATTATCGGTATACTATTGCTTAACACTTGCAAGATTCGAAAAACAATTCGATGAAGAACCATGGAGGTTCGTGCTCTTTCTTCTCCATGAGAATCTAATGTGCAAACAACTTCATCTAATATGGTAATAGGCTCATCCCCTATTACATGGGACTCATAACATAAACAGTGAAAAGTGGGTGTTATACTTCTGTGTGCTCTGCCTACCCCTTCGGGGATAAAAGGCGTGATGTTATGTTATGCAACTTCATCTAAGCCACGACTGACAAAAACGCATAATTTTCTACTCGACCCCCAAAAGTTCGAATCTTAATTTTAAACCAAATATTCTCAAATTCAAATTCAAATCACTTTAATGCATCTATAGTGTGTACAGGGTTGTTTACAATTTTTTACAAAATATGTTCCAACTATAGACCCTTTTAGGCACCGCAAAAGTACTTACTCTACTTACAAAATAATATTTTTTTTATTAATGCAATAATTTAATTATTTCAAATCTTACATAACTATTTTTAAAAATTTGTTTTAAAGTTAGTTACAAAAGAAAAAAAATAAAATATTTTTAACTTATTACCTTAATATGGCACAAAAACATTATCAAATACTACAATAACCATAATAAATCAAATACTACACATACCAATTTAATATTGCACTCCAATACTTAAATCATTTTATTTATTCTTAAATCATTCTATTTTGACACAGATGTCGCCTACAGAAATAGAACAAGTAATCCGTAGACATCCAGGGGTATTAGATGTGGCAGTGACGAGTATACCACACAGTGAATGGGGGGACTTGCCAGTTGCTTGCGTCGTGCCAAAACCAGGAGCCAAACCTAGTGCTGAAGAGATTAAGAACTTAGTTAAAGGTATGATATTATGTACTACTCTTTACCTATTCCTTCTTTATAGATAGTTACTTCCCTGCCGTAGGGAACTAAATATCTATCTTTATATATATAATTCTTCTGTGAGTGTGTATGTCACTGAACTTCTCTCAAACGACTGGACCGATTTTGATGAAATTTTTTGTATGTTCAAGGGGATCTGGAAATGGTTTAGATTCACAAATCAGCCCGGCAGATAGCGCTGCAGTCGTTTTAGGTTATTTATCCTAAACGGTGAACTAATAAGAATGATTTTTTGTTTATACATTCAAGTGGATATGCAGGACGACGTCTGTCGGGTTCGCTAGTACATATAATAAAATCGTAGGAAAGTGAAAACTGTACATTGAATATTTTTTAAAAGAATGCTTGAGGCGTGATCTACAAGCGACACCGAAGCTAAAAATATGGCTTTTAGAATTTTTGTCTGTTTGTCTGTATGTATGTCCGGCCTCAACTCAAAAAGTACTACATGGATTTACTTCAAATTTTGCATGAATATTACTATCAGGTCTGGTCAACATATAGGCTACATATTATCACGCTATCACCTACGGGGAGGAGCTGCGAATCACTATTCCACGCTGACGAAGTCGTGGTCACAGCTAGTATCTCATATTTTTACTTTTTTTACACAGATACGTTACAAGAACCGAAGAGATTACTTGGAGGTGTCATCTTCATGGATTTCATGCCCATGACGTCCACTACAAAGGTTCACAGAAGATTATTAAGACAATTAGCCTTAGAATTACCTAGGGCATAATTAGTACACAATTTAGATACCTTAAGTCGTTAATATAAGCTTTAACATTTTTGCTCAACAAATACCCCTTATACAGCTTGAGGGCCACGGATGGGATCCAATAGGACTGATGCCGATACGGAGCCGCGGAGGACTTAACGGGTTGCCGGGGCTCCGGCTCGAAGGGCAGGAGTAGGAACGGGGTGGTTTTTAGTCAGTAAGAGTATGACACTCCCTACCGTCTCACCCAGGCGGGAGAAGTCATTCGATGTTATCCCAAACTTAAAAAAATACAGCCTGAGGTGAATTAGTTGCTGTCAAAAATTGAAGGTCCAATAGAAACTAGCCAAGTCCCCATCGAGTAAAACAGGACCTTACGCTACAAGTGCCATCTCGTGACCAAAAACTGCAACTTTCGTCGAAGCAGTCGATATATAATGTCCATAAGTCATAACCTAAGGTATTTATATCAGTTGTAAACATTTTGTGTGATAAAATTAAGCATCATCATCACGCCTTTACCCCCAATGGATAGGCATAGGTGCAAATTACGGCACTTAATGCCACTGTACAAAGTTACAGCCACTGTTCACTATGTTATAAGTCCCATGTAATAGAGGGTGAGCCTATTGCCATAAAAAATAATTGTTATTTTAATATAATTCACCTCTGCCTCCACCTGCGATACAGGATTGTTCAAATCCAGACATTTAATTCTGAGATCAATTGTACCTATAAACATACTTAGGATATGTTTTTGTATTTTGCATAGGGTAGACGACTAATTTTTATTTTATTTTGTCCGTCTGATAGATTATTTAAAAACATTAGACACGTATTTTTTATTTTCTTACAGAAACGAATAGTTTCGAAGATATATTGATTTGAAATGTCGCGTGACGTCACTTCTCAGTACATTTTATACTAAGAAATGACGTTTTAGCCCCCACTCCTAAACTTTGATTCGTTTTATCTAAGTATTGTTTTATTATACGACAAAATAAAAAAATACGTGTCTAATATTTTTTTATTACCTAAGTAACTTACGGACTAATTATATTTTTAATTTTCATACCCTGTCATCATCCCCATTATGAATATAATTTTATTAATATTCTTTTCTATAACGTTTTGAAGTAACTACTTACATAGAGTGTTCTATATACTACATAGGTACATAAAAATACAGTTGGTGCGGTGGGTTAGCAACCGGCTGCTGCGTAACATGTAGCAGATTTGATTCCCACACGGAGCAACTCTTTGTGTGATCCACAAATTGTTTCGGGTCTGGGTGTCATGTGTATGTGAACTTGTATGTTTGTAAAAGCAACCACGACACAGTAGAAAATCCTAGTGAAGGACACCTTTTTTTTAAAGAATGATATCTTATATGTTGTAGATAAGAACCTATCGTATTGTATGTTACCCTAAACTGTATTAAATTTATTTTAACTAAAAATCGCGGGTTACTTACTTAAAAATAATTTGAGCGGTCGCGGCTCATGTGGAAGAACCCCTCTGTGGTTCGAAATTAGTAGAGCTTTTCTCAGTAGTTACTTAGGTATATTCAAGTTAGTAACTTGCAATTTTAACGATAGTTATTGTATTAAATTTAATGCAATTTGAACTTTATTGACATAAGATTCGGTGACGGGTTAAAATTATAAAAAATGATAACTTTATTTACCTACTGAGAGCAAAGCTAGTCTAAAATAAAAATGTTTGCAAACCCTGAATGAATCAATTAATATTAAAATAATTGTTGCTTGTTATTGATTTAATCTGTCAAACACCAAGCGGTCACCGGTGACCGCGACCTATTGTTCTTTAATTGTGTCTATAAAACCGGTACTCGACGAGTTAATAATAATACTTCTGTTTTAAACGACTTTGTTTTATTTTTTGTTCCCTCGAAGCAAAAGTGTCATGGTTGTGACGTGTCATAGTTGTGACGTGTCATAGTTGTGACGTGTCATAGTTGTGACGTGTCATAGTTGTGACGTGTCATAGTTGTGACGTGCCATAGTTGTGACGTGTCATAGTTGTGACGTGTCATAGTTGTGACGTGTCATAGTTGTGACGTGCCATAGTTGTGACGTGTCATAGTTGTGACGTGTTATAGTTGTGACGTGTTATAGTTGTGACGTGTTATAGTTGTGACGTGTCATAGTTTTGACGTGTCATAGTTGTGACGTGTCTTATTTGTGGCGTGTCATAGTTGTGACGTGTCATAGTTGTGACGTGTCATAGTTGTGACGTGTCTTATTTGTGGCGTGTCATAGTTGTGACGTGTCATAGTTGTGACGTGTCATAGTTGTGGCGTGTCATAGTTGTGACGTGCCATAGTTGTGACGTGTCATAGTTGTGGCGTGTCATAGTTGTGACGTGCCATAGTTGTGACGTGTCATAGTTGTGACGTGTCATAGTTGTGACGTGTCATAGTTGTGACGTGTCATAGTTGTGACGTGTCATAGTTGTGACGTGTCTTATTTGTGGCGTGTCATAGTTTTGTCAATAAATATAAATATTAACTGGTACAATACAGTCTATAACTTAGGTATTACAAAAAAACCATTCAATTAATTTCCAATAATACTTTATTTACAATATTTACATAGTAACAGGAATATGTTATTTTAATGGCGGCCAATATAAGCTGACTTCGTTGTGAGCGGATTCCGGCACCCATTTCAGATACTCGTCGAGAAGAACTGTAAAATAAAACAAATATGCTAAACTCGCGGTTATAAATTTATTGGACTTATGCAACAATCGTTTTATATAATGTTGCCCTACTAAGATTATACCAAAAGGCACTTGGGTGCTTCTTATGAATAAAAATGGAAGGTTCGTCAGAATTATGTAAGACATGTCAGCGCTTTGATGCCGTGGTTTACTATCGTGGTTATTTTTTTTACTGGAGTGCATGTTTTATGCCGAATAAACGCATTTCATTCATTCATTAATTTCATTCATTTATTTCATCTATCAATAAAATTAAACACAAGGAAAGTTGAAAATTGACACCCATGCACAACATAACATAACATCACGCCTTTTATTCCTAAGGGGGTAGGCAGAGGTACATTATGCCACTGTACAATGTAACCACCCACTTTTCCCTATTTATGTTATGAGTCCCATGCACAACAGTGACCTAATAATAGTTTATACATAATAATATTTTTAAAAGATGTGCTCTTTTTGCGTCTTTCTGTAAGTACGTGATAAACTCAAAAACTACAGGACGTATTTTAATACGGTTTAAAACATTATAAATAAAGAAATAAATAAGATTAATTTCACATTTGCAAGAACAGCACTATTAGAGTACCTACTACCTTTAGATAGTGCTGTCCATGCGAAAAGTTTGAGCACCTTTATTATACACATACGTAACATCACGACTCTAATCCCGGAAGCGGTGGGAAAAGGTGCATTACGGCACTTAATGCCACTGTACAATTTAACTTCCACATTTCACTATTTATGTTATGAGTCCCATGTAATAGGAGGTGAGCCTATTGCCTTATACCGGGCACAATTCCAGACTCCGTGCTACTACTGACATTTATTTTAAAACCCAGTAATACTTTGCCCGATGCGGGAATTGAACCAGATACCCCTTGCCCGGCAGTCGTACTTGCGACCACTCGGTACATGACGCAGTTACCTATATTATAATTTATAATAATTATTAATAATGGATACTTACAAGACCCGTTTTCCTCCCAAATGCTTCGCAAAGCGTCTCGAGTACCCGCCCGCTTCGCTATCAACGCCTTCAGAAGCACTTCGGTTCTGGGTTGTAACTTCGCCCAAGTCTTCACCATTGTTGAAGGCGGAGATAGTAATGAACTTGTATACTTCTTTAATTTAGGGAACACCGCGCCCTCTAGAAGGAAACGGGCGAACCATCTGAAACATAGAGTCAAGTTAAAAATCGTATAGACAGTGCGTTCAACTTTAGACCTTATTGGTTTTGACAATAAGATACTATTACATTGAAATAATCGGTGGTTTTAAATCTTGGTAATTATGTATCCAATTTTGGACTTTATAGTTCGTGATATAAGATACAATTGGATTGACGATGCTTAGTTTAAAATAATGGGTGGTTTTGATTGTAGACGATGTATGCGATTTTCGAACTTATTAGATTTGAGATAACACACAATTTTAGACACGGTGAGATTGTATGTATTGACATCATATTTTTACATCAACTTCAGAAAATTACGCATACTAAGTTAAACTTGTTCATACAAATAAGTCTCTAAACCTTGGAAATAAGGTCTATAATGGAGTGGGTAAGAGAAGACACTGATGTACTTTCAGCGATTTAGAAAATTAAATCCATTAATGACTATACAAAGAAGTCAAATTGTTTTTTAAACATCAGTTACCTGTATCTTTCTGTTTTCTCGGGAAAGTCAACTTCAGCAGTAGGCAGCTCCCAGCCAGCTTTTCCAAAAGTACCTTTGAAATGGCACTTCACTCTTCCTGACTTCTCATCGTATCTTGGCGGAGGATCGTCTAGAGGTTCACCTAGAAGACAAAGAAAAGTTAAAGATAACCAAAATACCATCTTGACTATTCCCGTGGGTATGTTACCATGAGTCGATTAAGGAGCTAGATATTTAACACGGTTTAGGTGTGGGAGAGCCATGCTTCGGCACGAATGGGCCGGCTCGACGGAGTGATACCACGGCCTCACAGAAAACCGACGTGAAGCAACGCTTGTGTTATGTTTAGTCATGTGAGTGAGGTTACCGGAGGCCCAATTATCGGTACCATGGTATCACTAACCGACGTGAAACAACGCTTGCGTTGATTGAGATTACCGGAGGCCTAATTACCCCCCTCCCCAATCCCGAATCCACAACAATCCTCAAATTCCTAATCCTATTTCTCCTAAACATGGGTAACGTACTTGTAACGCCTCTGGTGTTCTGGGTGTTCATGGGCGACGACGATTGCTTACCATCAGGTGATACGTCTGCTCGTTTACCAGCTTATAATAAAAAAATATTTAAAATTACAAAAACCAAAACATATCTTACCCAAATTGCATAATTGAGGAACCAATAAAGGTAACCATTCTGGTTCTATAGCAGTGACATTCCTCATTACCATCTTCCGTCTCTCATCGGCTCCAGTCTCATATAATTCCTGGAACACTACCCATTCTGGAATGGATTTCCTCAGAATGGACTCGAGTGTAAATGGACTGGTTCCTCCAGTTCCCCGCAGTGGTACGCGTATTTGAACTTCCTTTTGTCTTCTCCTGTTGGTGTTAAGGGTCAAAATTGCTTGTATTTTATTGTAAGTAATGGGTGATTATTAGAATTTGTGGATGGTAAAGAATAGTGGACTTTATGTCATAGTTGTTTAGTTCAGTTCTGTTTGGTATTGGGATTGATTTAGGGAATTTTTAAATACGATGTTTTTTACAATGCCAGTATGTAGTCATTACATGATGATTTAGAATTGAACACTCTATTTCTAAGATAACAAAGTTCGTGTTTGGATAACATTGAAATTAATTTTAGAAATATGTGAGGGTACTAGGGTACTTTTATGCTACAGAAGATTCCCGATGTTTTCTGTTTTTTAGTTGCAGATTTTCGAAACTGAAAAAGCCTCGAATAATAATATTAGTAATTTCATCACAACATTGTTTTGTGATTAAATAATGTTTACAAATTTATTAACAGGTATGAAAAATAAAGACTGCCTCGTTGGCCAAGTGGTCGTAAGTGCGACTGCCGAGCAAGGGCTCTCGGGATCCATTCCCGGGTCGGGGAAAGTATTACTGGGTTTTTAAATATTCTCAGTAGAAGCACGGAGTCTGGAAATGTGCCCGGTATATGGCAATAGGCTCACCCCCTATTACATAGGACTCATAACATAAATAGTGAAAAGTAGGTGTTACATTGTACAGTGGTATAGTGTGCACCTCATCACCCGTTCGGGGATAAAATGCGTGACGTTATGTATGTTATGAAAAATAAATAAATTAATAAATTTCACTACAAACCTTGTTTAACCTCATCAAGAGCTATTTTCTTGCCAACCTGGTCTCCCAAACCGCTGAGCACCAATTGTCTTAACAACCTCGCTTGGTTGTCATTAGGGGGCTTCATTTCGGGGTCTACTGCCACATTGACCCCAGCTACGCTGAGGTTGATTTCTGAGGTTAACTGCTTTCGAAGTTTGCGTATTTCTTTTATAGCCTGGCGGGAGAAAAGATAAGGGATTTACAATACAGAAATTTTTATCTATACATAATAAAATAAAATCGTAGGAAAGTGAAAACTGTATTTCGAAACTAGTAGAGCTTTTCTCAGTATATTCACGTGAGTAACCCGCGATTTTAGTGAATTAATGAATACTATATAACTTACTTTTAGTTTAACTAATTTAGTATGTCTCACGATAGTTATTATAATAATATATAGATTGATGATTGAACTATAGTCAGAATTTTAATTAGATTCCAGATTTGACAATAGCTACTGTCATTTTGTGAAATAATGATACCACATATAATAGTGTAGTGATGCACACAAAAATCGATAAACAATCAGTGTGTGTGTTTTATAATAAATGTTACAGAAAGTGACAGGATAGCGATAGCAATGACTGCGACAATTTATAAAATAACTTATTACCATAATACATATATCTGTTTTATTTGTCATGTTCCTTCATGATTACATTTTTTTATTTATTTCACACACAATTATAAAAGAAAAGTGTCAGATCGTTAATTAATCGTCAAAACTAAGTTATCGGTTCAGAAATATTTAATTTCCTGATATAGAATTAGTTTACGAGAGTAAAATTATAAACGAGAAGAATCGATCCAGAAATATTGCATTTCCATATCGAATAATTTCGCAACGTCACTATTTAGTACTTGTCATAACGTTGCCACACTGAAATTGTCAAATCTGGAATCGAATTAAAATTCCGAGTATAGTAGAGCTTTTCTCAGTATATTCACGTGAGTAACCCGCGATTTTAGTGAATTAATGAAATATATAACTTACTTTTAGTTTAGCTAATTTAGTATGTCTCACGATAGTTATTATAATAATATACAGATTGATGATTGAACCAGTCTTAGTCGATAGTTATTTACATTTTTATCGAATTGCTTGAGATGAGTGACACAAGAACAGTTTTTAACGTCAATTATAGTTTGGAGTAACATAATACACTTAATTTTTCTGATCAGTCACTCTAGTATGATTATGGGATAAGCCGGTAAACGAGCAGACGGATCACCTGATGGTAAGCAATCGGTGCCGCCCATGGACACGAACACCAGAGGCGTTACAAGTGCGTTACCGACCTTTTGTGTATTAGGAATTTGAGGATTGTTAGGGATTCAGGGATTGGGGAAGTGCGTAGGGGGTGGGGAATTAGGCCTCCTGTAACCTCACTTACACGAAGAAACACAACGCAAGCGTTGTGTCACATCGGTCTTCTGTGGGGCGGTGGTATCACTTAGGTTGAGCCGGCCCATACGTGCCGAAACATGGCTCTCTCACACTTAAAAATGTGAGCAATAAACTCTTATTATTACCACACATTTACCTTTTCTCTAAGTCCGTATTTAGCGCAGAATACTTCTTCTTCCCCTTTAACGTACGCATATTCAGCGGCGCCTATAGCTCGCAGCAATACTCCAGGATCGCCCAGTAGTAAGACGTTGCCAGTCGCAGGCCAACTGTCCGGTTTGCCTGTCATTACCTGGAAATTAGATTAGAATCTAGATTAGAATTAGTTAGAATACGAATCGTTATTAGTATTTATTTATTCATGACTGCCTCGTTGGCCGAGTAGTCGAAATTGCGACTGCCGGGCAAGGGGTCTCGGGTTCGATTCCCGGGTCGGGCAAAGTATTACTGGGTTTTAAAAAAAACCTCTTTAGTAGCATGGAGTCTGGAAATGTGCCCGGTATATGGCAATAGGCTCACCCCTTATTAAATGGGACTCATAACATAAATAGTGAAAAGTGGGACCTACATACAGTGACATTAAGTGCCGTAATGTGTACTTCTGCCAACCCCTTCGGGGATAAAAGACTAAGACTTCTACTGATAAAAGTAAGATATGGTAATGGAATTAGATATTCTTACCTCTGGCACAGTAAGTGCAGATACCAGCGCAATAGTGAAGGGTAGGAGGTTCTGTTGGTGACTGAGCGCTAACATCTTGCCGTAGCGAGGTAGTAGGGGGAACGCCGACACTGCCTTACCTAGTGGAGTCACTTTTAATACCTGTAGATAAAATTATGATATTAAAATAGTTAGCTTTATAAAGTGTACAATTTTAGTGAATAAAACAAATATAACGTCAATTTTTAGATCTTTGTAGGGGTACGCATGAATTTTTTAACGATGCCTTGCACTAGGATTTCCTCTGTTTCGTGGGTGCGTGGTGCGTGGTGCGTTCACGTCATAAACATCACACCCAGGCTCGGAGCAATAGTCTGCTGATCACACAAATAGTTTTTCCGTGCGGGAATCGAACCCATGACACATTGTGCGGCAGCCAGTTGTGTTGCCCAGCCAGCCATATCCACCGCATCAGATGACGTGATTACGTGATTTTATGACCAACTTAATTATTCGTATTTTTCCAGAAAATGTTTACGAAATAAGTACAGCTGTTTGACGCTAAAAAGCATGTGACGTCACAATACACAATCTCGTACAAAATTTATAGAAAACAGTCTTTTTTAACAGTTCGAAAAAAGTATTGATTTTGTCTAGTTGGCAAGTACCCATTTTGCAGTATTTTGCGATCAAAGTAATGTAATATCTTGAATACCTCTTCATCATCCTTTCTGACATTCTTCACGGGTGGTTTCTCCAGTATGCCGAGAGCTTCCAGCCGCTTCTCAGCCAAACGTAGTTGCATTCTATCTGGGGCCGTCGGGAACGGGAAATTTACTACCTGGAAAGTTAAAAATAATATTGAGTGATACCATTAAACGTTATAACATTTATTCTGTACTAGCGACCCGCCCCGGCTTCGCACGGGTGCAATATAAATCTTCCTTAAGAATCACACTATCTATTGAAAAAAGCATCAAAATCCGTTGCGTAGTTTTAAAGATCTAACCATACATAGGGACAGACAGACGGCGGATAGCGACTTTGTTTTATACTATGTAGTGATGGATGAAAAGGAGCTGTTTGATGCATACTTTAACTTTGACATGATCCATTCCACATGCTTTTGTTATATCACATCATCACATCAACAGCCTATAAGTGCCCACTGCTGAGCAAAGCCTCTTCTTACATGGAGAAGGTTTGAGCATCAATCACCACGTTTACTCAATGCCGGTTGGCGATTTCAAACTTATAATTAGAAATTATTAATTCCTTCACTGTTTGTCAGTGGTGTCTGAATAATTTTAGAGAGTGCATATAATTTGGAAAAAGTCACGTTGCTACTTGCCGTTGGTAGGTTTCGAGCCCGCACTTTCATGCATGAGAAGCGGGCGTCTTAAACATTCGCGTTATTACGACAAGTATACATTTCGATATACCTATAAACAATATATACCTTTTTTGTTATGACGACTCTCTATACCTACTTTAATGTACCGAACATTTTCGAGCTTAATTTATGAATTAATGAATACCATATACACATAATAAGTGAGGTTTTTCGTATACCAAGCACCTATTGTAAAATTCAGGATTACATAAAATGGTCTTATAAAGAAAATACCTACTTATCATGCATTGCATTAGGGCTGTCTATAAATTACGTCACACGTTAAGGGGTAGGGAGGGGGTCGACGAAGTGTGACATTGTGTGACAAGGGGGAGGGAGGGATCTTAAACTTTGTGATGTCAAATTTAAAAAACTATTATAAAACACGAAATATAATTAGTATATTTTTTTTTTTTTTTGATTTAGTATTAATATCTTTTTAAACTAATTAAATTAGAAATAAAACTGATTTCGGAACCGCTGTTTTCATTCAATAATTTTTATACATACGTAATGCTGCTAAATGTAACGTCACACTAGGGGGGGTCACACAAATATGATTACCTGTGACAAGGACGGGCAAAAAATCATGAAATTCTTGTGACGTAATTTATAGATGACCCCTTACTTGCTTTTAGTTTTCAAAGTGTTTCGTTTCGACGAATAATATGGGTGCTACAATGGGGATGATGACAGGGTATGAAAATTAAAAATATAATTAGTCCGTAAGTTAGGTAATGAAAAAATATTAGACATGTATTTTTTTATTTTGTCGTAAAATAAAACAATACTTAGATAAAACGAATCAAAGTTTAGGAGTGGGGGCTAAAACGTCATTTCTTAGTATAAAATGTACTGAGAAGTGACGTCACGCGACATTTCAAATCAATATATCTTCGAAACTATTCGTTTCTGTGAGAAAATAAAAAATACGTGTCTAATGTTTTTAAATAATCTATCAGACGGACATTAAAATAAAAATTAGTCGTCTACCCTATTACCTTGTCAATCCCCATACACTTCATAGTCAAGACGAGGTCGTCGACGGGCCGCCTGCAGAGGTCGGGCGCGTGGTGTGGCGGGCAGTCGTGCTGGAACACGGCGCTGCTGTAGACGCGGTATGCGTGTCCGCTGGCCGTGCGGCCGGCGCGGCCCGCGCGCTGCCCCGCACTCGCTTGCGACGTCCAAACGACGCGCCACGCACTCGCTCCAGTTGCGTGGTCATAAACGCTAAAATACCAATTTTATTCATCACTAGCTGCTTCCCACGACTTTGCACGCGCAAATTATTATTTTGTTCTTTGATTTTATTTTGTATATTCAAAATTTTGTTTTATCGTATTTTTATTTTGTTACTACACTGTGATCTTTTTTTTGTTCTTATGTCTTTTCTTTTAAGTTTATTATTAGTATTTTGTTTATATATCTGTATTTTTATTTTTTTATAATCGTGTGTGTCAAATAAATGTTTTTTTCTTTCTTTCTTCTTTTTCTATGCGCATACCATTGCAATTTATTCATACAAACCTTCTTCTGTCAATATAAAAAATAATAATATCCAATTTGGTAATGTCGAGTACCACGAACGAATGTTGTAAATACAACCTTATACAAATTAATTACCTACATATTTATTTGTTTATTACAAACTACCTCGTTGGCCGAGTGGTCGCAAGTGCGACTGCCGGGCAAAGGGTCTCGGCTTCGATTCCCTGGTCAGGTAAAGTATTACTGGGTTTTTAAAAAATTCTCAAAATAGCACGGAGTCTGGAATTGTGCCCGGTATAATATGGCTCACCCCTATTACATGGGACTCATAACATAAATAGTTAAAAGTGGGTGTTACATTGTACATTGGCATAACGTGCAGCTCTGTCTAACCCCTTCAGCAATAAAAGGCGTGATATTGTGTTATATAAGTAAAATTTTATTATTCCATTATGCCTATATATATTGTTCTATTTGTTTCCATTTACTATCAATTTTAATAAATCGAAGTGTTACCGTGGTGAGTATAATTAGAAAAAAACTCATGTCATTATTCTAAGTTTATTGATTAGTTCAGAATTCAGATCAGTTAAAAAAAATAAAGAAAAAGGTCTTTATATAAGCGAAATTAAGTAAACCCGCTTAAAGCAAGCAAAAATGACACCTAACACACATAAAATAAAGGCTACTTACCGCATCTTCTTCTTCCCAGTATCCACAACGTATCTTATAGACGGTATCGTGATCGACGTCTCAGCTACATCGGTACTGACGACGCAGAGCCGAGCTCCGGCCGGTGGAGGGTTGAATACCCGGGCTTGCTTATTTTGGTTCAGCATTGAGTACAAAGGTAATACCCATAGAGGCTGGCGACAGGACTTTATGGCCGGAGTTAGGGAGTCTTCTTCAGCGTCTAGAGAGTTTTAAGAAATATATTAAATATTGTTTTTATAATAACTATCGTGAGATATACTAAATTAACTAAAATCGCGGGTTACTCACATGAATATACTGAGAAAAGCTCTACTAGTTTTGAACCCGTGATTTTAGTTAATTTAGATTAAAAATTGTATAAAATCGTACTATTTGTCTAAATTCGGCTAATTCAGATGCAACAATTGGAAAGCTTTCTAAACTGATAGAAAGCAGGTAATTTTCGTAGCTATCCATTTTTCAAAAATTATCTCATATAGTTTGCTCAAAACTTCAATAGAAAGTTGAATAAAGTTTAGTATTACTGACAAATTTTCCAAGAGCCTAAAATCTCCAACATTTTTTTTAAACGATTGAACAGTACGATTTTCTCCTGTGCCGTAGGTGTGTTTACAAACATACCGGACCAGACCCGGAACAACAATCTGTGGACCCCAGCCACCGCACCAACCGTGCAGTCATGTCAGTCACAATACTGTGCCTGACCGGGAATCGAACCCGAGACCACTAAATCAGCTCTTGTAAGTAAGAGAGGCTGTGAGTGATATTTTTAAAAATAATTCAGTAACGAATTTTATTTCTATCAAGATATATTATAATATCAGATGTAGAAACATCTACAAGACTGAAACTCTTTGAATTACATGCAAACAAAGCCACGGACTAATATAACATAACATAACATCACGCCTTTTATCCCAGAAGGGGTAGGCAGAGGTGTATGTACATTATGCCACTGTACAATGTAACACCCACTTTTCACTATTTATGTTATGAGTCCCATGTAATAGAGGGTGAGCCTATTACCATATACCGGGCATAATTCCAGACTCCGTGCTACTACTGCGAATTTATAAAAACTCATTAGTACTTTGCCCGACCCGGGAATCGAACCCGAACCCTTTGCCCGGCAGTCGTACTTTGCGACCACTCGGCCAACGAGGCAGCCTAATATAGTAACGGACTAATATAGAATACAAAAAAGGTTAATATTATACCTTTAATGAACACAACCCACCTGAATCACTAAGATGTCCCTCGCTATCTTCGTCATCCACCAGGTCAGCCTGTCCATCATCCTCTGGCATGTCATAATCGTCCAGGTTGATCTTAGGTAAAGTCTTAGACTTCTGCTTAGCCTTCCTACGAGCTTTACGGGCGCGTTTCATTTCTCTTTCTACCTATAAAATGATAACAAAACCTTGGATAAATATAACATTCAAATTCAACACGAATAAACTTAAAAACCTGAAATTGGGTAGGTCCTTTCCTTAATCAAAAATAAATTATTTCGACTGTTCAATACAATGAAATATTAAAAAATAAACACACTTTGATGACTTTTATTTTGCATACATCACTCCGATTGCCTCATTGGTCGAGTGGTCGCAAGTGCGACTGCCAGGCAAGGGGTCTCGGGTTCGATTCCCGGGTCGGGCAAAGTATTACTGGGTTTTTAAAAATTCTCAGTAGTAGCACGGAGTCTGGAATTGTGCCCGGTATATGGCAATAGGCTCACCCCCTATTACATGGGACTCATAACATAAATAGTGAAAAGTGGGTGTTACATTGTACAGTGGCATAATGTGCACCTCTGCCTACCCCTTCGGGGATAAACGGCGTGATGTTATGTTATGTTACATCACTCCGATACAGCAGACAGTGGCACGAAGTGCCGTAATGTGCACCATTGCCTACACTTTCGGGGATAAAAGGCGTGATGTTATGTTGTTTGAGCAGAAATAGTCATTCTGAGGGCTTAATACAAGTTTACATTTAGCAAGATCGAAACGAAACCGAATTCAGCGGTGTGATTGGTTGGTTCATTGAAGCCGGCCAATCAGAGCGTCGAACGCGGTCTCGTTTGAATCTGGTGATAAGCATCGTTTGTCATGATGTATCCTCTTATTTAGCTCTAGCTCTTACATATATATAAATATCTTGTGGATTCGGTTTGTTGAAACTTTGACACTTACCTCATCATCATCAGATTCAATGTCCTCAGGTTCAGAATCCAGTGCAGCATCAACGTCAGACACCGGCTTATTCTTGGTGATCAGTTTCGTGTAATCCACGTCTTTGCGGTAAGGGAAGGCAGCCTTTAGCTTTTTTACTAGATAACGCACCTAGAAAGTGATAATAATTAGAAAATAAGAGAAACAGAGTGACAAGGTGTAAGAGAGAGAGAAGGCGAAAAAGAGAAGGAGATAGAAGAGGCGACAAAAAGATAAAGAGAGGAAGATATAGTCTTTATTTTTTAATGTTATTAATTTTTTCGAAGTTGTACTGATATTGAAAATGTCACAATGTATGTACAACAGTTTTATCCACGTCCATTTACCCTGGATCTTTCAATCAATTAAAAAGCTAAAGTATAATAATATGAGTATGTATGGATGATTGTCCCCCTTTTAAGTAAAAAGTAGAGAACGGGCGCTGTCAACTGGGAATGGGTCAGCTTCAGACTGTATTCAATTTATTGTCCTCAAGGTTATTTTCTTTTTCCTTCTCCTTGACTGAATATTGGTGTTACATTGTTCTCACATAATTGAACAAACGAAAAATTGTAACCAGGGATATTATATTGTGAAACTGATTGAATAGAATAGAATATAATAATTATTTATTTGCTCAGAATGCAGGTATTTACAATAAGGTGATATTAAAACAGTAATAAGTTGTCCTTGTACATTCTACCATTTTTGGCATGCAAACATTGAAAAAGAGTAACCTATGGAGTTTCTTGCTTGTTTGTCTCCATAGGAATCTACACTTTGGAACGAGCAAATAGCTTCACTAGAGGACTGACCGACAGACTGATATTTTTTTATCATATCAATATTTTACTTTGATGTTTAAGTGCCTTCCTGATCTAGTTAAAATAAATGATTTTAACTTTGACTTTGAACGAACTTAAATGAAATTTAGTTCAGAGATAGATTACATAGTCTGAAATAGCACACACCGGGTACTTTCTATCCATATAATGCAGGCGAAATCATTGGCATAAGCTAGTTCAATGGAGAACTTACCTCCTGCTGTCCAGTCACAAATATCAGTATCCCTCCTTCAGGCAGCCGAGTGTGTATCTTGACAGCTTTCTTATACGCCTCCTTTAGGTAATCACTGTTTGTGTTCTTATTGAAATGTATCGTCACTGGGAACTGTCTGGAGTCTATCTGTTAGGTAAAAAGTAAATAAAGTGGTTAGTAAAGCAGTATTGAGTTATTATGTTCGTGAAAACATATACACTCTCCAATTCCTAAAGTTCCAATTGGGTATTTTCCTTGGTCAAAAATAAATTATTTTGATTTTTCAATTCAATTTTTTTTTTAAACTTTGCCCCACACTAGGATTTTCTCCTGTGTCGTGGGTGCGTTTACAAACATACAAGTTCACATACACATGACACCCAGACCCGGAACAACAATCTGTGGATCACACAAAGAGTTGTTCCGTGCGGGAATCGAACCCGCGACACGTCAACCAACCGTGCAGTCAATTTGAATATTCAAAAATAATTACAATTTCATTCATATATTTGACGATATACTTAATTTTCGATTTGTTCTAGCAATTTCTTCAGAAATAAGTGTGCTATATGACTCGAAAATATGATGACGTCATAAGTTAGTTTTTAGTACAAAATTCATAGAACATTTCTAACACCTAAATGTTCCGAGTGTCCATGGACGACGCCGATTGCTTACCATAAGGAGATCCGTCTGCTCGAATTCATAAAAAAAGATTCATATTAAAAAAATAAACAATAAAGTAATTTAACTCACATTTATAACCGGCGGTGGATCTTTGAACAGCCTAGTATTTTCCGTAAAATCCTCCACTCTTAGAGTGGCAGACATGATGATGAGTCTCAGAGGAGATCCTCGCTTCCTTCTCAAAGGAACTATCCTTGATAGGAGCCCTAACAATATGTCTGTATAGACACTCCTTTCGTGGGCTTCATCTATGATCACTACTGAATATTTGCTGAGCAGAAAGTCTGATTGGATTTCTTTGAGAAGGACCCCTGTAATAGAAATGAATGCGATTAAAGGCTGGAATGTTGTACGGCAGAAAATGAATGACATTATTTTAAAAACAATATATAAGTTTACTTATAATAGAGTAGTTTCCGAAATTTCATTTTAATGTCCATCTGGTAGATTAATTTAAAACATTAGACACGTATTATTTGTTTTGTCGCAAAATTAAATACTTTCGACAATATATTCATTTGAAATATCGTGTGACGTAACGACCTCCCACTCCTAAACTTAACGCCATTTTGTCTAAGTATTGTAACGTTTTACGACAGAATAAAAAAATACGTGTCTAATATATTTTCATTGATTAACTGACGGACTAAGTAGACTTTTAATTTTTCATACCCTATTATATTATAAAAAAAAACTTTATAGATTTCAATGTAGAGAAAAAACAAACAAAGTATATTTGTGATACCATGAATGAAATACCTACTAAATATTAATATACCTACGTAAATATATCAATTTGTGATGCTCAACTAGTTTCACGTTGTACTGGAGCGCATATAAAGTGCCGCTCGAATCCAGTCGAGTATCCCCGAATGAGCATACGAGTAAATGATTACAAAGAGGCTCAGAATGACTATCATTTTGAATATTATAAGCACTGGTACTACTCTGTAGTTATATCTTTTGTGATATGCATTCTTCTATCATTTTTTACCGACTTCAAAATTGATGCACCGACTTCTTACCTATCAATGGGTGGGTAACCTATCAGTACTAATAATAGTTATTTTTTGCTTTTTAATTTAGACTTTTTGTTTGTTATTATTTTTTTGGTTTTTTGAAGTCGGTTTTTTATATTACTATTAGAACAAAATAAAATATACAAACCGTCAGTCATAAACTTGATCTTCGTGTCCTTAGTAACATTGCCTTCAAACCGCATTAGATACGATACCTCTTTACTGGACAGACCCAGTTCATAGCCGACTCGGGCGGCCATAGCCACGGTGGCCACTCTACGGGGCTCCGTAACGGCTATCATTTTATGCTCTGCGTAGCCTGCTTCGTATAAAAATTGGGGTATCTGTGTTGTTTTACCACTACCTGGAGGTAGAACGGGAATTATGTTAAAGGAATATTAATTGAAAATTATTAATTTATTTTTATAATATTACTAGCGACCCGCCCCGGCTTCGCACGGGTGCAATATGCATGCATTATACATATAAACCTTCATTAAGAATCACTCCTTCTATTTAAAAAAAACCCATAGCAGTGCCATCTATTGATTACTTACTCAACCCAGTCGAAAGGTATCGACTTCTGTTAGAATTATTTGGAGTTAACAGATAATTGTGACTGTCAAATAATAACAGACAAATAATTAGTAATAAATTAAAATTGCGACTATAATTTGAGATTTAAACTATCCTATCTCTCAAGTTGGATCGAACTGCACATGGTGTGCGAATTTTATTATAATCGGTTAAGTGGTTTAGGAGTCCATTGAGGACAAACATTGTGACACGAGATTTATATATATTAAGATTGTGTTGGTGGTCGAAGCCAAAATTTGTATTGCTTGAATGGTCTTTCTTAGGTTCAGAGTAAGATATTTTATGTTTTTGAACTAGATGAAAGATTTGCAATTTAAAGACGAACACTGATCGAGCAAATAAGAGGTGTCTCAGATTTGATTCCTGGTTCGTTCAGTTCGATTATCGTCTGTTACAGTAAGATTTAAAAAAATATGTAATTTGTGACTGGTGTATGTCAGGTTCACCATCTATTTCATGGGACTCATAACTGATAAGAAGTAGCTTTATCACGAACACTTCTGCTTACCCCATTATAGTAAATATGGTTACATACCTGTTTCACCAGCAACAATAAGAAATTCATTTTCATTGATTAATTCCATGATTCTCTGTTCTTCACCCAGTATAGGTAATTTCAACCTTGCTACCTGTATTTTAGGGTCTCTTTTCACTTCCACATGAACCGTAGGATGCTCAAGCAATGGTTTTTTCTCCACTTTAATATCTTTTTCAACTTTCTTGTTATTTTTCTTTACATTTTCTTTTGTAATATCTGGAATTTCTATTGCAGTTTCTGCTTTAGAATCATTTGTATCTGCCACTGTAATATCAACTTTATCAACTGGTTTTTGAGTTTCTTTTTCTTTCTCATCATCTCCATTCACGATTTCTGGTTCATCATCATCGCTTTCTTCTTCGGCTTCTGAACTGCTGTCTTCGGAAGACTCTTCTAGACCAACTACGTTTGGATCATACTTCTTCTTTTTAATTTTCTCTGCATTATCCATTTTTAATAGTCGAAGACGTTTTTTGGCGCCTGGAAAAAATTCAATGTAGATTTAGACTGTCTTGATGGTTGAATATCCCTTTTTTTACACCACGGCGGTGGCAAAAGAAGCGCACGGCCCACCTGATGGTAAGCGACTACCGCTTGCAACACATGGAACATTACATGGGTCTTGACGACCCTTAATAAACCGCCTTAATTGAGCAAGATGGGGTTCGGTTCTATTCGAAGGATCTTTTTAGCACTTAATAGCACGGAGTTTGAAATTGTGCTTAATGTTCAGCAATACCTTAAATTAATGGGACTCATAACATAACTGATGAACATAGTATACATATAAGTAGTCTGCACAGATATATGAAAGAAGCTTACTTGTCGATAAATGTTATTACTCTGTGCAGGATTTCCTAAATGATACACCATAAATTATAAATTATTTTTTTTTTTCAACCTAATTGTAAGAATTATATTTGCATGCCAACAAGGCCGAATGTATAAGGTTCCGTGACAACATATTGTACCATCTTATTCTTATGTACCTACATTCTAGCAAATAAAGATATATTATTATATTATTATTAAGAAGAAAGAAAGAAAATCCACGTATGTCATAACACTCTAAATGTATCTCTACATATTATGCCATGCGAGAAACAAAAAAAACTGTATTATAATCTACATAAACTGTATTATAATCGACACAAGTCTGTTTGTAATATTAAAATAACCCCTTTTACTACATGCATATAAATATTCATACGATACATGTACCAAAAAAACATTTTTTTTTAATTTTTGTTTGTTGTTTGTACTGGCTAATCTCTGGAATAGCTGAACCAATTTTGACGGGACTTTTATTGAAAGTTAGCTGTTGCACTAAGGAGTAACATTAACAAAGGCTATGTTTATTGCGGAAAATTAAAAAAAAAAAACTTATATCCTATATTCTATGAGGACGAAGTTGCGGGCAACAGCTATTACGTAAGCACCATGGGGGTGTGGGGGGTCTCTGTTTTGCTTATTTCGGATAATATGGGGGGTAGGGGAGTCTAGATGATGATTACGTCATCGATGGCAACCCTCATATTGAAATTATAAATTAAAAGCAAAGACCGACAAAGAACGAAACATTATGGTGTTTGAAGAATATTAAAATTACAATATAAAAAAGATATAATAATAAATTGTTTACGTAAGCTAAGGGGGAGGGGGTAACATCTTTGCTTACTTTTGCTGACAAGGGGGGTGGGGGGGGGTAAATAATTGTAAAAAATCTGCTTACATAATATTTGACCGGCCCCTAATAATATTAACAAGATAATCGTTAAACTTACCAGCGATACTACTAAACTTCTTGTTCTCGGTTTCCTCAGTAACTGTTTGAGTAGTCAGCTCAGAATTCAGCTCATTGAGTTTCCGCAACCCAATGGTCTGGACAGTGGATATTCCAGTAAGCTGTTGTACTTCCTCTGCTGACGCTTGTACTTGTGACAGAGATTCTAAGAGAGATGCCCTCTGAAATATTGAAGAATGGATTTATTAACACATTGCTGTGATTATTTTTGTATGTAAGTATATATATTTGATGGGCCGACGTTTGACCACTACCTCGCCTGGTGGTAAGCGATGATGCTGTCTACGATGGAGCACGTCATCCCATAAGCAACCTATTCACTCGGGCCTTGAAGACACTCAGGTTTCTTTTTTTTTTAATATGTTACATTTCTTTTTCTCCACGGACTCTTGTCTGCGCCCTTGTCATTCAATAACATTTTCTTGAAGACACTCAGGTTATCCTTATGCCCTTCAGGAAATACAGACTTTTTTTTTTTAAAAAAAGATGTTGCCCCACACTAGGATTGTCTCCTGTATTGTGGATGCATTTACAAACATACAAGTTCATATACACATGACACCCAGACCCGGAACAACAATCAGTGGATTACACAAAGAGTTGTTCCGTGCGGGAATCGAACCCGCGACACGTTGCGCGGCAGCCAGTTGCCTAGCCACCACACCAACCGTGCAGTCTTTCAACAGCCAACTTTAGCAAAGAATTCCACTCCTTAGCAGTACACACAAGGAACCTTGATGAGAAGTGCTTCGTACGTGTGGGTGGGACATCTACCATGAATTGGTTATGCTTCGTTGACTGTTTTGAGGTACGATGACGGAAAGGACTAGAGGGAATCAGGTTGTGCACACTCACTGATGCACTGGTAATATGCGGTTGATTTGTGCTCAATATTTATTATGTAGTTTACAATATTTAATTGACATTTGATGCAGGACATTTCATCACCTGACTGACCAAAGCTGACAGAGGACTGCTTTAAATTACATGCCGAACTGAGCTATTTAGGGCTACCATATTTTTGGTCACGAGATAGCACAATTGTAAAGCAGTTGCCTAATATTGAACATCCAATATGGAGGGACTAGCTCATTCCCTATTGGACAAAAAATGAGGGGTTCACACAGGCACCATATGGAGACCAAAAATATGGTGACCCCATTGGACAATGCATGTTTAATCAGTTCAGATTCATCAATGCCATTAAATAAACAATAAAATATTTAAATACTTACATTTTCCTTCTTCTTTTTCTTCTCAACAATCTTCTCTAATCTTTTTCGCTGAGCTTTTGAAAGGAATCTAGTTTTTTCTTTCTTTTCTTTGACAATCTTTGTGTCTCGTTTCTTTGATGGCAAGGCCAGTAAATTAGTCGAATCGGTGCCTCCATATTCATTGGTAGCAAATTCTAATTGAATCTGAAAGTAGAAAAAAAACAATAATACTAAGAATTCAAATATTATAGAAGTATTATTATGGCACAGTGTATAACAAATTAGTTACTATAATGATTATTAAGTATACCCAAGGTATATTACATAAAAATTAAACATGCTATGATTAATATTAATTTAGAATCACATTTGAACTAAGACTATTTTTTTGTAACCTCTTTGAAATTTATTTTCTTGAAATTTTGCAAGCAATATTATAGTTAGGCTATTCAGTGAGTCTTTTTTGGGGCCAAAAATAAATCAGAAAGCAATTGGTAATACCAAAAGACATTGTATGTTTGGTACTTCACGGTAATTTTTCATATAAAGTAAAAGTTGTGTAGATAACTATACAACTATATATTTCGAGAAGTCACATTTGAGTGGCTTATCTTTAATTTCTATAATTTTTCTAATATAGAACAGTAAGTACCACATGTTTGATTCATAAAATATAAAAGTAAGAATAAAAATTGGTTACCTCACTAGTTTTTGAATTATCTATATCAGTCTTCACGACTTGGCGAGCTTTAGCATTATAGCGTCCTTTCCCCATCTTGAACAATTTGTTTATGTATTAAAACACCATGAATTCAGTTAAATATTCAGAAATAAAACCTCACACAATCATCATCAAAACAACGTGTTTTTGTTATGACTTTATTTTTTTTAATAGTTTGACAGATAGGGTTGCACAAAGAAAAACTTACTATTTATGACTCTACTATTTTTTATAGTTTTATTAGAGAAACAGTATTTCATAATTAATTAATGCTATAAAATATCTTAATAAATTTTAAAATACCTAAGACTAAGAATTTTAAAACCCCTAAGAAGCATGCAAGCACAAGATGTGAAAAATAAAAAGCTCGATTTCCATAATGAAGTCCATAATGAATTGTTTTAATTTATTTATGTATATAATTTAATAAAAACTTAAATAAAATTAATGCTAACTATTATTAAATTAAACATATACAACTTAAGATAAAAATTAATTAAAGTAAAACTAAAATATACATAGTCCTGTTACCCACCCACGTTATAAAATTAATAATTTTACATTGTTTTAATAATAATCATTTAATTATTTATAATATTATAATATGTTAATGCGTATTTATGGCTTCCATAATCTTTTATTTCTAAAGGTAGTATTTAGTCGAACATATACGATAACAAATATTTAATCGACTATGCGTGAAATGAATTTTAGCTTTACACTATGAAATAGCTGTCAACTGTCACTGTCAACCGACAATTGACATTTTGACAAACGTCAGATTCACGTGTTTATTTCCAGACTTGGCTGACTGAATTATTTTCGTATTTTAGAAATATTTCGATTTTTAGGGTACACATGGTGTCACAATAAATTATAACATGGCAGAAGAAATTTATATTGAACTAACAAAACGATGTACGCCAGTGACTAAGAACGAAATCGCGTATTTATCATGGCGAAACTCCATGCTAACTGTGCGTAAAAGTAAACGTTTAAATTTCCTCGAATATGCGTACAATTTGGAGTGTTTAGATAAAAATCTGGACTTTAATGAGAGTGCTTTGAGCAGTCCTACGACCAGCCCTGCCACAGAAGTATGTAAAGCTAATTTTCTGAAGTCTGAAATGAGAAACGCTGATTTCACGGATATGTTGCTAGATTCAGCGTTTTGGCCTCACAATCAAGCTCTTACCCAAGAAATGACAAGTATTACTATGTGCAAGTGGTCTCCACAAGAGTTCCTGAAGAGTAATTCTGTTCTCGCTGTCTTAAATAATATTGGAGGCGTTGAATTCTTTATCAAAGAGAGAATAGTATGGAAAAGCATTATGAACTTGTCACCTTACATCACAAAACTTTTAGCGCACAATAAAAAGCCAGGATACTTTGAAGAGCTTAAGGAATCTGTTTACATCCTTGAAACATCCGCTATATGCTGGGCACCGGAGTTAATTTCCGGTGATTCTTGCTGCTTCGTCACTGCGCAGAAGAATGGCATGCTTCTTTTTTGGCAATTATTTAGCAGTATGAATGAACCACAAATAATTGGATATGTAACAACAAATATGGAAGACATGAGTGTCATAAGATGGATACCAAAATCTGACGATAGGTTTTTTATCATTGGCACGAATCTTTCAGGACAAATAACAGCTTTTGATTTGAAATTAGAAAATAATGGCATAAAGCTTCTAAAAACCTGCCCTCTTTGGCCACATAAAGACAGAATGGCAGCTGTGACCTTCAAATATTTAAAAATGAACAATAAAATAATTTTCATTACTAGCAAGCATAGACATTTGTTAGTACAAGCCATTGATTATGATGGCAACATTCTAAGTCAATATTTAAATAATATTAATGATCATCGAATATCAGACATTATCTATACCTGTGATGGCATATACGTAGCAGGAGTAAACGTCACAATTTACAAAGTAAATGTTACTCTCTCCGATGCCAATTTAAATGTGGACCTTGTTCCAGTAGTCATTAAGAACCCTTATCCTTTGTATGAATTATACAGTCTACGGTTCTCACCGAACAATTTGATATGTGCATTAGCAATGGTTGAACGTAAAGTACAAGCCAGAAAAGAAGCTCTTAAGTTAGAAATAATATTTATTTGCAAAGAAATGAAACCAGAAAGTATGCTGGATACACTATTATCCAATCCAATGAAAAAGTTGACGCACTATTGGGATTATATAGAATTATTACGATTCCAAATTACCAAGTTAAAGTGGAGGCCAAAATTGGACTTTAATGAGCTTTACTTATCAGGTGCACAGGATATTTATAAGCTTAAAATCTATTTAATATTCCTTACATACATATCAGGGTTAAAAAAAGTGTTACGCTTAGTCGATGTGGCATTACCGGAGACTTCAACGGACATTGTGAAAGAAAAAATCCTTTATTTACATGCAAAACAGTTATTAGACAATTTATACACCAAATGTCAAAACGAAGGGCAATTGAACGATCTAGATATGGAATCTCTTTACGGTACCAAAAAATATTTGGAATATTATGCAAAGAAGTATAAAACGGACAATGAATTGGATCAAAATGTGTTAAATGCATTAGAAAATTCTTGTGATTATGTCTGTCAGTGTTGTGATGAAAAAATTGAAGGGTTTACGTGTAAAAGTGGACATTTAAATATGTTTTGTATGGCAACTTTTACTCCTATTTGTTCGGATAATTATTTAATGTGTCAGTGTTGCAATGCTACATCTAGGGCTGATTTAGAAATTGAAAACCCTATATGCGTGTTCTGTGATTTGTATTTGATAAAACCTGATTAAAAGGATGTTTAGAACGAAGTTTCTCTTATTATTTTTTCAATCCATGTAGCTTATGCTCGCGCTATTATCTATATGTTTAATCAGAGGAATCAGGGTCGCCTTAGACTACGCTGGGGCCCTTGGGCACACAATACTTCGGGGCCCTTGAAAGTATTTTTTTCTAACGTTGCCCCACACTATGATTTTCTCCTATATCGTGGGTGCATTTACAAATATACAAGTTCACATACACATGACACCCAGACCCGGAACAACTATTTGTGAATCACACAAAGATTTGCTCCGTGCGGGAATTGAACTCGTTACACGTTGCGAGGTAGTCGCTTGTCGCAAAACGTGTAGCGGGTCCGTCATAAAAATTGTCGGTCCTTCGGGGATCCCTGGGCATACCCATGCCCATAGGTCCCGAGTGCTCTTATGGTAAGCGCGATACTGCAGTGGACCAATATTGACACTCACTTTGTTAAATATTCGATCCATTTAACTAATAGGAAGTGATTCTATTGGCATTTGCTGACCACAAAACAAGTCGTGGTGACACGAAGGTTAAAACGCCCGCTTCTCATGCATGAGTGTGTAGGTTTGTAACCTACCAACGACAACTACCAATGTGACATTTTCAAAATTATATATACGTTCTAAGATTATGTAGACACCACTGACAAACGGTGAAGATACACATCGTGAGGAAACCTGGACTTATAATTTCTAATTATAAGTTTGCAATCGCATAGAGCAAGCGTGGTGATTAATGCTCAAACCTTCTCCGTGTAAGAAAAAGCTTTGTTCGGCAGTGGGTTCTTATGGGCTGTTGATGATGATGAAGGCCACAATTATTATAGACATCGTACGATTTTAAAAAGTAAATGGTAAGAATTGATTCGACGACCTGTGAATCGAATCTGAGATTCTTACTCGACAATGCCCAAGCAGTCACTCAATCAATGAGGCAGTCATCAGTCAGTAAAATATTTCATCGTATTATGGTTACAGAAACAATTCGTTTGCTTTCACGCCTTCCTGTAAAATAATAACAAAATGGATATCTATTTATTCATACCCTCATATCAATTATTTTATCTTCATCATGGTGTTCTACTTACCAACCTGTAGATAACAAATACAAATCACGATTATAATCTGTACACGTCTCAAGTGGGTAGGTAGCTATTACTTAAATACTTACCTACTGATATTTGGAATAGGCAGGGTACGTGACGCACGCGTACGCGGGTTACATTCCGGGCGACGGAGATCGCGCGACGATCTCCGGCCACCGTAAGTACGGGTCTGCGAATGGCGAGCATGGGTGGCTCGCCATCCGACCCAAACCAGACCCGAGCGTAACGCGCGCGCCTCAAAGAGCCATCAGACCACCACGGATGGGGTCCAATAGGGCTGATGCCGATACGGAGCCACGTAGAACGCAAAAGGGGCTCCGGCTCGAAATGCAGGAGTATCGACGACTAAAACCCACTGTTTAAGGCAGTAAGATCCCGACACTCCCTCCCACCTCACCCATGCGGTACAAGTCATTCGATGGTTTTCTCCCTATAAAAATAAGGTCCAGAAGTCCTTTCTACATATGGGTGTGTATTTAATCTGACTTGGGCATTAAAGTTAACCCCTTCAGTAGACGGATAATATGCGATCACTATATACCTGTGAATAAGTCAGGTTTTTAATACGCATCTACGCTGGCTTCGCTAAAAAATCTTATAAAAATACTTAAAATACCTAGGTACAAGAACATTTTAAGAGGTGTGGCTACCTATTGGCTACTGTAGAGATATCAATTTAGGTATTACCTACCTAGTTATGTTGCAATTTATCAAACCACTTCAATGATAGCGTATCAGAATCCCATAGCAACTAATTTGATACTTCTATATTTGTCCCGTTAACCTCATTTGATCTGAAGGTGTGGGCATAAGGTTTGATATCGTCCTTGGCAATCAGTAAGTTATTTTTTTAGGGCATTAGGCTGATTTTAATAATAATAGTGCCATAAGGCACTCCCTCATTATTTTATAGACTAAATAATTACAAGTGAAATACTCGGTAACCCTCCCTTTCTTATGTAAGCTAATCATATCTATTTAAACATACAAAATGTTCACATAATTACAGTTATCATTAATTCTAATTTCTTATAATTAATTAATATTTTTCTAAAATAAGATTGAAATTGTTACCGGTTATTCCCGCTCGTCACCCCAAGCTTTGTCCCCTCCGGTGACAAGTGGGAATTATATTGAAAAAAAATCCCATATGTCACCCCCAGGTGACGAATGGGATTCCACTTAGAAATCATCCCAGTCGTCACCGCTAATAAAAGCTTGCTAAAACCATAGTTTTACATTGCGAATGGAAATTTGTTTTTGAACTAAATAATACAATAAAATTAGACAGCCAAAACTTTTTATTTGCTTTTATTTTCAAAATCAGGTTCTAAACGTTTTACATTCAACACAAAAGTATTAACAACAGTCTTTGCATATTATCACAAATCAACACAATTTACATAATTGACTAGGCTACATTCATTGGTTCAGTTTGAAAGTAATCACCATAGCGTTACAAAATATAAAAAAAATAATATTAAAAAAATCTTAAAATGTATCTATACTAACTTTAAATAATTCTTATTATCACAGATCAACACTATTTACATAATTGACTACTATTTACATAGTATTTACTATTTACATAGTTACTATTACTATTACTATTATAATACTATTTACTATTTACATAGTTGTAAGCATTTTTGTAATTGGTTTTATTGAATGTAAGAAATTAACTTTATTATAATGTAAAACTTTGCCGAAAACAGTAGGCGATGTATGTGGGACTATTTTTTATAATTATTACTACCTGTAATTACCATACTTCGTGCAAATAAACGTTCTTATTCTTATTCTTATTCTAGGCTACATTCATTGGTTCAGTTTGAAAGTAATCACAATAGCATTACAAAATATAAAAAAAATAATATTAAAAAAATCTTAAAATGTATCTATACTAACTTTAAATAATTCTTATTATCACAGATCAACACTATTTACATAATTGACTAGGCTACATTCATTGGTTTGAAAGTAATTACAATAGCATTACAAAGTTAGTATAGTGTTAGAAGCATAGACAAAAAGGAACGAAATGTCATCGCGTAGCGGGAAAATATAATCTGTGGTTCGAACAATGAAAAAGTCAAGATGGCGGGAACTCGGAAATTATTGAGACGGCGTATTTGGTGTTGAGGGAATTTTATTCTATTTGAAAGTCAATTTGCCTATTCATGTGTTATTGTTGTTGTTTTTCTTTCCAATTAATAGTTATGGTTTAGCTAGTTCTGAATTTGTAATTGGATTTCGATGTTAACAATATAAGGTGAATTGTAATGGTGGTACTCTTTATTTCTCCTGTCTCCTGAGTTTCTAAAATCCAATGTGGTATAAAACAAATAAGTTACTAATATCAAAGAGCAAGGTGAACTCTATGACAGTTTTTAAGTTTTCTAATATCAGAAGTGGGATACGATTATTTTCCATGCGTTCTGACTTTCTATGTAGATAATACTTACATGATACGGCAATTTGACTATTCAAAGTTTTTCATTTGTTTTATGTAAGTCGTATTCATGTACTACTTAGTAGGTACGTTGTGATCGAGGTATTGTGGCAAATTGTGGTAACGTATAACTATGACTGAAACTTACGGTGAGTACGTTCCAATTCCCGTTTGAAAAGCTATAATGCTTTTGTGTATTTGTACGTGTAAGCTACAAATAAATAAAATTGTGAACTCAATGTTTAAACTATTCCTACTAATTTTCTTTTAAGTTAAAATCTTTAACAATCTCAAGTTCTGTCATTGTAATTTGTTATACCTACCTATGTCCTTTACTGTTACAAACAGTAAGGAGAGACAATGAATGTCACGTAGGTACTGAAGTGATTCTGCTAATATTCTAGGCGATTCTGCTAACATGGCTTGTGTAAAGTAAAGTGAACTGAAACACTAAATTTTGATTTGTTTGACTGCATGGAGGAGTGATGCTGCCAATTGCTGGTGAGGAAACGTGAGCTCAACACCGGTGCGCCTGCCTGTGCTGACGTCGCTACAGCTACAGTTCATGACTGCGGCAGTAGCTGAGCGTCGATGGTTGGTGGCAGTAGGTGAATTGACTTCGCTTGGACTGCTATGCAAGCTTGGCTCACTGTGTTGTAGAAGCAATACATTCAATGACCAGGTGAGATCTAATCTTACTTTTATATTTAGTATTCTTTATCTGCTAATTTTTTTGATCAACAATATAGACAGCAGACCTGGTATGAAGCAGTAAGATACTAAGAATATAAAGTTTGAATTATTGAAATAAAAATGAGTAAATGTTTTACAACGGCAACTGCTTAAAAGCTAAGTCCAAGGCTCAATGCATGGGTTACCATTGGTTGTATTTAGAGTAATGTGAAGGATTAGTTTGTGAAACGTTTGTGCTTTTGAATATGTTGTACGAAGTCATGAGTATGAATACTGATCAATATCCAACATATGAATGCTGAATATGCTTATCGATTACTGTTAAAAGTTACAGTTAAAGTTAATGGGTTGATGATAAGCATATTACAGCAGCAGTAAAATTGAACCAAGTTTCAACTATAAGTTGTTGGTGTCGTTTGTTACAAAGCAAAATACATTAACTGTTAACAAGTTAACTAATATTAACATTGTTTGTATTCTTATGTTATCAGGCATTATTTGTTATGTTTACACTTGAGAGAGGTCAATACATTAACAAACTTTATGTATTGCATTTGAAGTGGCATCTTGCAACTGAATTTTGAATCACAAATCTTTAGCCGATGGAGCTGAAATTTTTTTATGTGTTCAGGTTTAGCTGTGAATTCAGCTGAAATTTTACATCTTTTATCAAAGTAATGTAATCCAAAGAATAAAGATTAAAATCAGAACAGGAGAACTGCTGTATGTTGAAA